GCATCACGATAGAAGCCAACAAACAGATCATCAACTCCCTAGACGTCACCTCACCTGAAAAAAGGTACCTTCCAGCCAATCACAAAGCCTGACACCATCCTTCAATATGTCCACCGCGAGAGCAACCACCCAATAACCACAGCAAAAACATATACCACTCGGCATCAACAAACGTCTGTCATCACCTTTCCTCTGACAAAGCATCATTCGACCAAGCCACGCCACCATACCAAAAGCACTCAACGAAAGCGATACAAATACACCCTACACTACGAACCAACTTCGAATACCACAAGAAAAACAGAAAACGGAGCAACATACTTTGGTATACCCCATTCAGCAAAAACGTCAGCACCAACATCGGACACAGATTCCTCAACCTATTGACAAACATTTCCACAAAGACCACAAACTCAGAAAATCTTCAACCGCAACACATTAAAGATCAGCTACAGCTGCATGAAAACATCAAGCAAGCCATTGACAGTCACAACAAACGCATCCTAAAGTCACACGACACCAAGCACACCCGGAAAATACCAATGTCAACAAAACATGCAACTGCCGACAAGCGAACACAATGTCCACTCAACGGGAACTGCCTACAATCATCAGTCATTTACCAAGCCACCGTCACACGCAGAGACAATGAAACTACAGAAACATACATCGGACTTACAGAAAACGAATTCAAGACAAGATACAGAAATCACACCGCATCTTCCGTCACGCAAAACACAGAAATTCCACAGAACTCAGTAATACATCTGGACCCTAAAAGACAATAACATCGACCACTCCATTTCCTGGCGCATCCTCTCAATAAAGCCATCCTACAGCAGCTCAAACAAAGATGCAGCCTTTGTCTTAAAGAAAAGACCCTCATTATCTGCCACCCCGAATTATCAACACTCAACAACGAAACGAACTCGTATCTTCTTGCCGCCATAGAAACAAAACACTATTATGTAACACCTAAATCCCTCTATGTACCGCCCCTAATTTACCTTTTGTATAACCTTACACATTATGTAACACCTTCTGTACCGTATTATCTATTTATTCGAGGAATATTCCAGTATATCAACATCTCCTGAAGAGTGAGTTACTCACGAAACAGGCTTGTAGAGATAAACCATGTAGTTTTACTTTCTTCAATCTATGATATATATATATATATATATTTATATATATATATATATATATTTATATATATATAAATTAGGCATAGAATCGAACAGTGGGAAATATTGCCAAAATCCATAAAAATTGGTTTGCATTTAAAGAAGGGAAAGTCCACCTTTGGCATTGCTTGTATGGTTGGAAGGTCAAAAGATTCATGTTGATTCATTATTTGAAAAAAATCTATGAAAAAATACAATGTAAGGAATAGCGATAGCGCGAAGAAGGCAAGAGGGACAAAAAAGATTCGCCACTCTGGAAATTTGAAGCTAATTAAGGTCAACTATCTATAAAGAATTAGCATAGAATAAATATATGATACAATGTTAAAAATGTTTAAGGTATGATATTCTAAATAAAACCTAACCCAGCAAAAGATATTTTACACAATCTACAGTCACATTCTACAGGGTTTGCTCTCAATTTTTTTTAAATGTTGCCAGAGATTGGGACTCTCTTATACTGTGAGGTAGTGTTTGCCACAGTTTTTGACCTAAATATCTCAGTTTCTATACCATAAGAAGTTATCCTGGCTTTTGGAATGCAAAGATTATTTTTAGTTCGCAAATCATAATGTACATTTCTTGTTTCAAAAATCTCACTCATGAAATTAGGGTTCAGGTCATGTTTAGATTAGTATATTTCTATCATCAAGTACTGTAGAATGCGTTGGTGAATCGATACTGCAAAAAGCTTTGTAGCCAAATATGTTGTAAAATGTTTGCTATTCTCATAGCCATTTTCAAGATCTGTACCGCCAAAAAATTATTTTTTAAATGTTAATTTTTGTTTCAATCTTGTTTCTTTTAATCTTATTGTATTATTGTATTGTATTATACTGTATTTTGAATGGAATGAAAAAATCACCTAGCTCTACTATTTTCATTAAGCCTGGTTTTCATATGATCGCAAAAAACGCAAGAAACGCACTGCGACCCTTGCGATTTCTGCGATCCTTGCGACAAACCGGTTTCCATTTGATCGCAAAGATCGCAAGAAATACACTGCCATCCTTTTGATTCTTGCGATTCATTATTTGACTTTGGGTGCGCCAAAATAAAAATGGCGGGAATCAACCAGCAATTTCTACTGCAATCGAGCTTGTTTATTATTATTGCATTGTTGAAAAGAGTGAAAATACGTCGTGGAAGAAAAAAACATAGGTTTTGGGTGAGAAAATTTCTTCAGAGGAGAGAAGAATTTGGCGCGTTTCACACACTAACAAAGGATCTGAGGATTCACGATCGGGAGTACTTTTTCAGGTAGGCCTAATTTTTCAGGTTGGAATGATGTACCTCGGTGCCTGTTAGTTTTTACCTCTTTAGGCAGTTTCTTGAACTTGTTCTTAAAGTCCCGGCTATTCTTACTATAAAGGCAGTCGTACTGTTGTATTTCTTCTATTAAAGCAAGGTCTTCTTCTGTTGCAAAAGCCATCTTGAAATTTCGATGAAAAAAAATGGATGCGAGGCTTGGTAGAACATCCCGGATGATAAACTGAATCAAGGATCGCCAAGTTGTTAACAAGCGGTTTCCATTAGAAAAACCATCGACGCAAAGATCGCAAGAATCGCAGAGATGGAAAATTTTCTATCTCAAACGCAAGAATCGCAAAAATTGCAACAATCGCAACAGACGGAAAAGAGCAGTTTCCATTAATACGCAAGGATCACAAGGGTCGCAAGTCACAAATTTCAGCGATCCTTGCTTTTTTGCGTTATACAAAATATTTTATTTGTCTTCCTATCATATGATGACATTTTAACTTCTTCTCCAACTCCTATCACTAGAGTTTTATCATATCTCCTCCCAACTTTTCCCAATAAACTATGATCAGTTTTTTCCTGAGAAACGTCAAATTGTATAACCTAAGTTAAGCGAAAAGCACTTTGTCAAATTAAGCCAAAGAAATGTCTTTCTAGGCAGGGCCGCCGCCAGGTGGGATGGGCCTCGGGGAATGCCGGGGCTCCAATTTACGGAAAAAAATTGAGGCCACCATCTGCTTTTGCTCCTGGAAACGCCCTTTCTCTGAATTTAAAGGTGAAAACGGGCTTTGAAGCATGGTTAGATTGTCAATCTTCTCCGCAAACCTCAGCCTGGGCCTCTTTTCATACAAAATAGATGTGATTGCAGTGTTAAAAACTTTGACAAAATCATCAACAAAGATAGCTATGTGTCAATCAAAAGCGAGTGAACTTCTCAGCTCCTCTCTTTCGATATATCTTGTTCAAACTGTTACCCAAAGCCGTGACATGTTAAAGCCTTCGTTCTATGTCATTTTGTTTTGATGGACCAACTTTGCTGCAATAGAATTTTCAATGTGCACGTACTTATGCATAGAAGTAAAGAGGAGACTTTTAGCTCAAAAATGGAATAAAATTAGCTTTCGAATAACTTTGACTAGATAATCCTGTTTCAATACTTGTAAAAAAGCCTGCCGCGACCAGGTATAGAGTCGCTTTGTAAAGAACTGCTTAATAGATAGAACTACGTACAAAAAATAGATAGTTAAGGCAGACGCTTCTAGGAGATGTGGGGAATGCTCCCAGAGGAAATCTTGAAGACGAGGGTTCCTAACAAGGTTTTCTCGTTCACTTTGTTAGCAAATGAGGCCTGAACACCTCCCTAGAGTGAAAAAGCTGAGCTAGCAATTACACCGCTTACAACTTATTAATTTAAGAACAAATCAATAACAATCTAGCCGGCGGATTTTTGAAAAAATTAAGAACAGTCAATCTGAACTTAAAGGCATTGAGTCATGGTAAATAGGAAGCGTATACCCAAATTGCAAAAATTGCTGAGTCATTATGATAGCTTCGCGAATCTGATTGGCTGTCAAGCAAACTGCACACACGATGTTGTAAGTGCTCTTTGTTCCGCCGTTTCTAAAGGTTCTTTCTTTCTCTCTCTTTTCTCTTACTCTCTGCAAAAGATTTCAAAACTTCTTCCCCTATTTGTACCTTTCAAATACCACAAAGGCTTCTCAAATGCCTTTCGCTTTCGACCAAGAATGTCTGATCACATGAAAACAAAAATATAACTTGAAAACGCGGAGAACCAGTACCAGCGTCGGATTTTTGAAAAAATCAAGAACAGTCAATCTGAACTTAAATTTACTGGTTCTTAGAAAAAAGAATGTACATATTGTTGCCAGTGGCGTAGCGTGAGCGCAGAACTTAGGCATGCGGTAACATAAAATATACGGCTATGTTGAATGAATGTAATTGCAGCTTCTTAAAAATACAAGGGGTAATTAATTATTATCGTGATAATAAATTTTGATTTTGAAAGTAACAAATTATTTGTACTAGAGTAATTCTAATCAATCAAGGTGTCTATTCTCTGCATCAGAGGCTCCAACACAGGTTCGAAAGTGAAGGGAGGCCAAGGGAAAAATTATCACCCATGCGAAAAGTTTTTGAAAAAAGCTCAATTGCTTCGCAACAATTTTCAGAATAACTATAGTGCTAAAACCGCTTCGCAAAGATCTTATTCTTATATGCCCATTATGTAAGAATTTTTATGCTACAATGCAGCTGGGGATTCCCGCTGGGGAATGCGAAATTGTTAACACACTGCAGAGCCTAAGCGAACTGAAACAACAGTTTCAGCTCATTTTATCCTCTCATAG